AAAAGATTGAAGTTGTCAAGGACTTCATTCTTCTTGGATCAAGTATCAACTCATGGAAGCAGCAATCAAGAAATCAAATGCCATATTGCATTAGGCAAATCTACTGCATAAGCCCTTTTTAAACTGTTGAAGAGCAAAGATGTCAGCTTGAGGACTACGTGCACCTGACCCAAGTCATGGTATTTTCAATAACCTCATGTGTAGGCAAAATTTGGACAGTAAATAAGGAAGACCGTAGAAGATTTGATGCTTTTGAGTTATAATGTTGGAGGAGAATATTGAAAGTGCCATGGGCTGCCAAAAGAACCAACAGATCCGTGTTGGAAGAAATGCAGCCAAAGTGCTCCATGGAGCCCAGGATGGCCAAATTTTGTCTCTCATACTTCGGACATATTGTCAGGAGGGCACAGTCTCTGGAGAAGAATATCATGTTTGGTAAGGTGGAGGGTCAGAGAAAAAGAGGAAGATCCCCAATGAGATGGATTGGACAGGTGGCAACATCGATGGACTCAAGCATGGCAACAATAGTGAAGTTGGCCCAGGATTGGTCAGCATTTCGTTCTGCTGTGCATAGGGTCACTGTGAGTCGTTAACAACTGATGGCACCTAACAACAACAATCTTCAGTGATGAGATCTAATATACTACAATCAACTGTATAATGAGATCTGCTATGAAGTTTCCTTGGGATGTGGACTGCAATGTATTTCGTTTTACATATATAAAATGGGAGAGAACTGTGCGGATAAAGAGGGATCAATTGCCAGCAAGAAAGAGTCAGGAAAGTAGTGTGTCTTTTGAACCTGAGATCACCACACTGTGAAGCTTCTAGATCCAGGGGAAGACCCACGGAGGTCTGCAAGGAATAGTGGGCCTACAGATACTAAAAGGAGACAAGGATGTTTCCCTAGAGTCAACAAACAGAAAGTCTTCACCTAGAGCTAGAACTCTGAATTGTGATTTATGGTATAAACTTTGAGAAACCTATACATAGACCAAGAGAGTGTTGTTCGACCAGAACAAGGGGACACTGAATGGCTTTAAATTACAAATGGTGTGTGCCAGGATTCTGTTCTTTCACCATACTTATTTAGTCTGTATGCTGAGCAAATAATTAGAGAAGCTGGATTATATGAAGAAAAATGTGGCATCTGTATTGGAGTCCAACTCATTAACAACCTGTAATATGCACATGATACAACCTTGCTTGCTGAAAGAGGACTTAAAACACTGATGAGGATCAGACTACAGCCTTCAATTTGGATTGTACCTAAAAGTAAAGAAAACAAAAATCCTCACCACTGGACCAATAAATAACATCATGATAAATGGAGAAAATATTGAAGTTGTCAGACTTCATTTTACTTGGATCCACAATCAGCACTCATGGAAGCAGTAGACAAGAAATCAAATGACAGAGTGCATTAGGCAAATCTGTTGCACAAGACCTCTTTCAAGTGCTCAAATATATCATCAGGTTGAGGACTGAGGTGGACCTGAACCAAGTCATAGTATTTTCAATAGCCTCATATACATGTGAAAGTTGGACAATGAATAAGGAAGACTGTAGAAGAAATGATGCTTTTGAGTTATGATACTGACAAAGAATATTAAAAGTACCATGGACTGCAAGAAAAATAAACAGATCTGTCTTGGAAGAAATACAGCCACAATGATCCTCAGAAGCAAAGATAGCAAGACTTTTGTCTGTCAGTCCCTGAAGAAGGATACCATGCTTATAGTGGAGGGTCAGTGACAGTGACGAAGAGGAAGACCTCCAGCGAGATGAATTGACACAATGGTAGCAACAATGGAATCAAACAGAACACTTATTAGGATGGTGCAGTGTTTCTCTCTGCTGTGTATAGGATTGCTATGATTGAATCCAACTCAACAGCATCTAGCAACAATAACAACAACAAAATGTAATGTTGAGAAGGCACAATAACTAAAAAACATAAAACAAATCTTTAAAAAAATTTGGTAGTCTTTATATAGGAATGTAGACTCTCAAGCTGCCTGAAGGAGCCAGAAAATTTCCATTGAGGAGATAAAGTTTGAGCTGGAATTCTGTTGTTATGTGTCATCAAGTTGGTTTGACTCACAGTTGACCATGCATAGTGTTTCCGAGGAGCAATTGATGTGTAAGTGCAGTGTTTATCCTACAGTGCCATACCAGGAGTGCTGAGCTAGGTATGTTTATCTGGTAGCTTTTCCAACACTATAAGTGGTTCAGCCTGGAAGCATTGCAGGGGAAAAGAGAAAGAAGCATTGTGAGAGAAGACAATCTGATTGTCAGTCCATGATCTGGGTAGTGGCATACCATAGCAAGGTTGGACAATTTGAGTATGCATTATTCCCTTTTTTTTGATGCAGTACCCTGTGCCGTATTTTTTCTGTCATGTCAGAAGCCATACTGCATATTTTGAAACAGGGTGACAATGAGAAGGCAAAAATGCTATCCCTCCCCCTTCATCCTAGAAATAAATGAAATTTCTTTTTGAATCACGACATATGGAAGTTTAGCACCAGCATGCAAAATGAACAAGTAAAGAAAAGAAAAAAAGCATTTACTATGTATTTCAGATTTCTTTGGTTGGGGGTTCCCCCATTGATACTAATATCTCTTCTTTCAATTCATATTACCAAAACAGGAAAAAATAGACATATGTAAAACTAGTGGTTGCTGAAACTGGGGAGGTTGCTTTCTTGTCTTCTGTGCAGACATTCCTAAGATCTGTTTGCTGACAAACTTGCTGACAGTTTCCTTTTGCAGTTGTTTGTTTCCTAAAGAATAATATAAACATTCTAGTGTCCAAATCTTGGTTAGTCTCCCACTTTATTGCTTTAATGTTTCTTTGGTGTTGCTAAGGTCGTGGGCTTTTTTGTTTTCATTGTTACATTTTTGGACGGTCGTTAATTCTTTAGGTCACCTGCAGATGGTGAAGGTGCCTGGGGAGCCAGGTTACTCAGCACTGCTCTGCTCGGTGGCTGGATCAGGGTTCTCAGTTGGGGCTTCACCTGCCTTGGTCTCTGCCATCTTGTGAAGGAGCAGTAGGAAGACGGGGGCGGCGCGGTAGTTGTATGGACGCTGGTATCCACTGCGAGCAGATGGCTGGTTCGGACCATTGGCTGCTTGCTGATTATCTTCAGCCTCTCCAACGGCTGGGGCAGGTCGTGGGCGAGGACGTGCCCTGCAGTATCTTAGACGATAAGTTGGATTTCCATAGACATCAACTTCTAGAGCTTACATGAATGTTTTATTTCCTCTATACCTAGATACTGAGTCACAGGTAAAATGGCTACTGTAACTTCCTGATTTTGATTCTGCTAATGCAAGAAATTCTTTCCTAACACTTACAATTTACAAGTCACTTGTGAATAAGATGTGGCCTCTCTTGTACCCATCTTGATTTTGCTAGTATTTCTTAATGAATCAATCGATTTATGAGTAATTCTATGTTTGTAATCATTGGTGTGTGTTTAGTTTTTGTTGTCATTGTTAAGTACTGTCAATTAGGTACCAACTCATAGCCACCCTGCATAAGGTTTCTGAGGAGCACTTGGTGAGCTTGAACCACCGACCTTACAATCTAGCACATTAACCCATGGCGCCACACCAGGACTCCAACTGAATCATTATATATAGTTTTTAGAGCTTTTTAAAACATAAAATTTTCCTTTTATTTATTATGAAGATATATACTACAAAACATACATCAATTCAATAATTTCTACATGTGTAATTCAGTGACATTGGTTACATTCTTAACGTTGTGCCAACTTTCTAGATACCTTTTTCCAAACTGTTTCACCATCATCAACACAAACCCACTGCCCTATAACTTCTCATGTAATGCTTCAAGTTTATTTTCCATTTGATCGCACATAGATCATTATTTTAAAGGGCACAATACTCAAGGCATTGTTTTAAAGATGGACTTAGAGAATAGTTTCCATTGAAGATTTAAAGATTTCCTCAGGGCAATAGTTTCAGGGGAGCCATCTAACCTTGATGTCTCCAGAAAGTCTGGATTTGAGAGAATCTGAAGTTCTGTCTACAAATTTTACTCATTTTGATCAGAATGCTTCTGTAAAAGCTTTGATCAAATCATTCAATAATTATAGTTTGGCACAATGCAGTTCTTCTGATCTCATGGCAAAAAAAACAAAAACAAAAAAAAAAGCATTCGTTCATGGAGATTGAAAAATAATCGATGCAGTTGAATTATGATATTGGTGAAGAATACTGAGCATACAATGTATTTATGGAAGGATGAGCAAATCTGTCTTGGAAACAAGACTGTTCCTTAAAAGCTAGGATGGTGAGATGGTGAGGCTTGGTCTCATGTACTTTGGCCATGTTGTTAGGAGCGAGCAATCCCTTGGGAAGGACATCACACTTGGTCAAATAGGGATCAGTGAAAAAGAAGACCCTCAATGAGATGGATTGATGCAGTGGCTGCAACAGTGGGTTCAAACATCGCAATAGTTGTGAGGAATGCAAAGTACTGGACAGCGTTTCATTCTATTGTACATAGGGTCTCTGAAAATTATAAATAAATCAGCAATGCCTAACTACAACAAGGATATCATGTTTGGTAGGGTTGTGGGTCAGAGAAAAAGAGGAAGACCCACCCCCCAATGAGATGGATTGGCCAAGTGGCAGCATTGAAGGACTCAAGCGTGGCAACAAAGTGAGGTTGGCCCAGGATCAGGCAGTGTTTCATTCTGCTGTGCATGAAGTCGCTATGAGTTGGTACGGACACAATGGCATCTAACAACAATAACAACATATAGGAGGGAGAACTTTTAATCTCAACAGTTGCTAATAAAATCCTTATTGGGAAGGAATTACTAACATTAAGGTAAAGATTTTGTTAAGCTGCTTAGGATAGAAGGCAATAATTTGCAGAAGTCAGGGAAATAACAGAAAGTTTAGCTACTTGTAAAGAGAGAAAGAGAGAATTTTTTAATTGCCTTTTATTTTGGCAAAAAAAAAAAAAAAAAGGAAAGGTCGAAAGAGAGAAGTAAATGGTATTGAGGAAACTGACTTTTTTATGAACAATATGAAAATAAGTCAGAAATGTATTATTCATGCTAGAAAATTATTTCTTCCAGTTTTATTCTCTTTTGAGTGATTTTATAAATATATACAGTAACTTCATTGATTCAATTTAGTTGGAGTTATTAGTTAATGAAAATTTTGATTAAAATTGTATCTAATAATGATTTTGAAACATTGGGTTTCATTTTCTCCTCTTGCCTTCCATGAATAATTATCAATGTGTATTCATCATTTCCTGGTTAATGAAGACGTTCAACTCACTTTGAAATTTAATTAATATTTATATGTAATTTTATAGTTAGAAATTAAATATAATTACAAAGAAACTTAATACTAAATTTTCAATTCCTACTAATAATCAATGGAAATGAAAAGTAAGAAATAGAACTATTAAAAACACATTTAAAAACTGGATATTCCTATTATCATTTTTAACATGAAGATACTGTTTTTAAACATAAAATTAACTGTTAGGTGAAATGCAAAAAAAGAAGAAAGAAAACAACAATAACAGCTAAAAACTTTACTAGAACTTAGAAATGTCAGATGGGACTTAAAAATGCAAAACTTGTTGAAGTAGAAATTTATCCTGTAAATGGAAGAAACATCTGGGCAGACTCAGAAGAAAACAGAATGACACAATCAGCTTATAATACAAGCCAACTCAAATGGAAAGAGATGATTCTCAAAAAAAGAATACCCATTTTGAGAATAAAGGAACAAATTCAAAACCTACAATTTATTCTTAATGATGCTTCATCTTTCATTTGCTTTATAACAGCCTTCTACCCAAGGGGCAAAGATTGACAGGCTATTCTTTAGTCCTTTAATTTTAGCTGTCCCCTAACTATGACTCTGGGGCTAGAATGCACAAACATGACAATAAATCACAAAGAACAAAGAACCTTTAAGACTTTAAGGCAGAAGGGAGGAAGAAAGAATGCTTTAAAATTCCCTTTACATGCATCCTTAATAATTAATAAATGTTTCTAGTATGCTGAGTTCAGTTACACATTTTTCAAGACAGATACATTGTTCATGGTTTTCTCTGTGTAAATAACACAAAGGATACATTTCACATTTCCTCGTTAATGTTATATTCTGGTCAATTTATTCAAAATAAGAATAATTTGAGTTTGGTTCTAAAAATACTCATATTTTTCAATTCCTCGGTAATTTCAAAATAAACATAAGCATTTGTTGGCTTGAAGCAAACCTTTATTAAAGCATCATACTTTCAAAAAATATATATTGTTGGTTTAGCCAATACCCATTGCCTTAGAGTCGATTTCAACTCATGGAGACCCCATAGGACACAATAGAACTGCCTCAACAGTGTGTCTAAGACTATAAATCTTCAGGGAAGCAGGCGGACACAATTTTCTCCATTGATCAGACAGTTGATTCTAACCACCAACATTTCAGCTGATGACTGAGTGCTTTCAACCCTGCACCACCACTCTCCTTTAAAAAGTTCTAAAATCATGAAATAAGCTTAATTTGACAAGTTCAAACATGGATTTTAGTAGTTTTTAACATCTTGAATTGCTATAGATCAATTTTCCATCTGATTTTTTTCTTTCCTGATTTATATCTTATATACTTTAATTACTGAGCTATATGTTCTGTGTCCTGAAATGTTGCACATCATTTCCTTTTTATAACTAATACCATCTTTGACCTTACAACTAGAAAGGTGTATATCAAGGTAAACGATTACACAGCATTCATCACTGTTTTAATTCTGGTCATGTCCTCTTGTTGCTGTTGCTGCTAAGTGCCATTGTGTCAGTTCTGACTCATAGTGACCCTGTTATAGGGTGTCCGAGGAGCAGCTGATGGGTTTGAACCACCAACCTTCTGGTTAGCAATCCAGTGCTTATCCTATAGTGCAACACATATGATTAGGGGGATTGAAAGTACATCTAGGTCAGATAGAAAGCTTAAGAACCCTGAATTTTGTAGAGGGGATTTGGTGTGGCACTGTAGGATAAGTATTGGACTGCAAGGAGAAGGAGCTAAAAGAACTGTGATGGCAGTTCAAACTCATCAAATGCTCTTTGGAACCCTAAATAGGGTAACTAGGAGTTGGGACCACCACTCATCTGTCAGTTTGTTGTCCTGTGGTAAGTTGCATGTAGATCAATTTTCCATCTGACTCTGGAAGTTATGCCACAGGTATCTTAAATACCAGAAGGGTCCCCCAATGATGGACAGGCTTCAGCTGAGCTTCCAGATGAAGAAAGACTAGAAAGAAGGAGAGATGGGCTGCTTCTGAGTATTTACTCACTGGAAATGTTATGAATAGCAGTGGAGCACTCTCAGTATCAGAGTACTGAAAATTGAAACATCATGAAGAGCACCAAAATATTGTCAGATATAGTGCCTGAAGACTAGTCCCTCAGGTTGAAAGGCACTCAAAATATGACTGGGGAAAAGCTGCCTCCTCAAAGTAGAGTTGACCATGATGACACAAATGCAGTAAAGCCTTCACAACCTTCATTTGCTGATAGGGCACAACTCAAAATGTTACAGAAACGTTTTAAACATCCATTAATAATCAGAGCATGGAATGTACAAAGTTTGAATCTAGGAAAATTAGAAATCGTCAAAAACGAAATGTAATGTATACGCATTGATAACCTAGGCATTAGTGAGCTGAAATGGACTAGTTTTGGCCATTTTAAATCTAACAATCACATGGTTTCCTATTCCAGGAATGACAAATTGAAGAAGAATGGTGTTGCATTCAGCATCAAAATGATTATTTCAAGATCTATGTTGAAGTATATTGCTATCTGTGATCAGATAGTATTCATACAGCTACAAGGAAAACTAGTTAATACCACTATTATTAAATTTTACTCACCAACCACTGAAGTCAGTGATGATGAAACTGAAGAATTCTACCAACATCTAAGGTCTGAAATTGGTCAAGCATGCAATCAATGATTGATACTGGTGATAGGAATGTGAAGGTTGGAAACAAAGAGAAAGGAACAGTAGTTGGAAAATATGGTCTTGGTGTTAGAAATATGCTAGAGATGCAATAATAGACTTTTTCAAGACCAAGGGCTTCTTGAATGGAAACACCTTTTTTTAAACAACATAAAAAATTACTATATACCCTGGGGA